GAAGTGCTGAAGAAGAAATCAGCCTATGGTTTAAGCCTGAGGAACTGGTTGGCTCCAAGCTGTGTGCTTATAACTGGGTCTACGAAAAAGAGGTGACCCCCGTAGGTATCCCCTGCAGCACCACTTGGTGTGCCCCTGGACACAGCTCTTCATTCCACTGACTTGGAAGCAACGGGCTTGGTCTTTGTTTTTTTTGTTGTTGTTTGTTTGTTTGTTTGAGTTTGAGTCTCATTCTGTCGCCCAGGCTGGACTGCAGTGGTGCACTGCTCACAGTGACTGCAGCCTCGACCTGCTGGGCTCAGGGGATCTTTCTGCCTCAGCCTTCCAAGTAGCTGGAACTACAGGTGTGCACCACCACACCTGGCTAATTTTATTTTTTTTTATTTATTGTAGAGACGAAGTCTCGCCAAGTTGCCCACACTGGTCTCAAACCCCTGGACCCAGGCAATCCTCACGCATCCACTCCCAAAGTGCTGGGATTACAGGTGTAACCACTGCACCTCCCCCACCCCCCAATCATTCTTTTCTAAGGCATATTTACCATTAAAGCCTTTGGGAAAAAAAAAAAGGATTAACTTCTGAGATGTCTAAGAAAGCATATAGTTAAGAGATAAGCATCATAGTGCAAGGGAGAGCCCAGAGGGAGAAGAGGAAAACATAAAAAGTGGTTTCAGGGCTGGGTGTGGTGGCATATGCCTGTAATCCCAGCACTTTGGAAGGCCGAGGCCGGAGGATTGCTTGAGTCCAGGAGTTCGAAGCCAGTTGGGCAAACATAGTGAGACACTGTCTGTACAAAAATACATAAAAGTTAGCCGGGCATAGTGGCACACACCTACTCAGCAGGCTGAGGTGAAAGGATCGCCAGAGCCCAGGAGATGGAGGTTATGGTGAGCTGTGATCATGCCACTGCACTCCAGCCTGGGTGATAGAGTGAGACCCTGACTCAAAAAAAGGGAGGGGGGGTTGCTGTAATCCCAGCACTTTGAGAGGCCAAGGCAGGAGGATTCATGCCAGGAGTTCAAGACCAGCCTGGGCAATTTGGTGAGATCTCGTCTCTGTAATAAATTTAAAAAATTAGCCGGTTGTGGTGGCATCACACGCCTGTGGTTCCAGCTACTTTGAAGGCTGAGGTGGAAGAATCGCCGGAGCCCAGCAGGTCGACGCTGGCGTGAGCATGCCACTGCACTCCAGCCTGGGTAACAGAGTGAGACTCCAACTCAAAAAAAAAAAGACCCTCCCCCCTTTTTTTTGATCTTTACTCTGTCACTCAGGCTGGAGTGCAGTGGCACAATCACAGCTCACCATAGCCTCAACCTCCTGAGCTCAGGCAATCCTTTTGCGTCAGCTTCCCAGAGTGCTCTCCCGGCCCCTACCAACCTGTTATCCATTGCCTGATGATAATTGCCCGACTTGATTATTTAATTAGGAGTTGCACATTGATGATTTACCTAGTTTATCATTCCCTTCTGATGTGTTAACTGAATTTTTTTTTTTTTTTTTGAGTTGGAATCTCACTCCGTCACCCAGGCTGGAGTGTAGTGGCACACTCCTGGTCACTGCAGCCTCGACCTACTGGGCTCAGGCGATCCTTTCATCTCAGTCTTCCAAGTAGCTGGATCTACAGGCGCACGCCACCACACCCAGCTACTTTTTGATTTATTGTAGAGATGAGGTTGCCCAGACTGGTCTTGAATCCCCAGTCTCAGGCAATCCTCTCGCCTTGGCCTCCCAAAGTGCTGGGATTACAGGCTTGAGCCACCACACCCAGCCAAAATTTTTTGTAAAGAAAAATCTGCCCTCATCACAGAGCTCCCACTGGCCTGATATAGGGCAGTTTGAACGTCAGTAAGATTGCACTTGAATGCACTTGAAACATTGAATATAAAAAATGTATCGGCAAGAGTGAAACTAAAAGATGGAGAAAGAAAGGGAGAAGGTTGAAATACAACCTAGTACTCCTGAAATACAGTTCTCACAGGAAAGGAGGCACAAATGCTCAGCTCTTTAATCACCAATTTTCCGAATAGGAGGTTGGCATACTGTCTGAGGGGTTTCTCTTTCTCTCCTCCCCCTCCTTTTTTTTTGAGTAGGAATCCTATTCTGTCGCCCAGGTTGGAGTATAGTGGCACACTCATGGCCACCACAGACTCAACCTACTGGGTTCAGGTGATCCTTCCGCCTCAGCCTTCCAAGTAGCTGGAACTACAGGTGTGTGCCACCACGACCAGTTAATTTTTCTTGATTTATTGTGGAGAGGAGGTCTCGCCAAGTTGCCCAGGCTGGTCTCCATCCCCTGAGTTCAGACAATCTTCTCACCTTGGTCTCCCAAAGTGTTGGGATTACAGGCTTGAGCCACCTCGTCCAGACTTCTCCCTTTCTTTCTCCACCTTTTAGTATCATTCTTGCTGATACATCTTTTATATTCAATGTTTCAAGTGTAATCTTACTGATGTTCTAACTGCCCTGTATTAGGCCAGTGGGAACTCTGTGTCCTTTAGCTGTTATCCCATTCTTTGGTATCTTTGCTATCTGGTACAATAGGCCCCAGGCTCATTCTGAGCATTTCCTTCCTCCAGCCTAAAATCAACCTCTCCGCCAAGGAGCTGGGTGCCTGGAAGCCTCACAGCTATCTGACTCTGTTGTGTCTGGGATTTTCAGTGACGTTACGGGATTTTTACTTGACTTGTTTTATCTTTTTTTTTTTTTTTGAGTCGAAGCGTCACTCTGTTGCCCATGCTGGAGTGCAGTGGCATGCGCACAGCCTCCGCAGCCTCGATCCCGCTGGGCTCAGGCAATCCTTCCGCCTCAGCCTTCCATTCCAAGTAGCTGGAACCACAGGTGTGCCACCACATCCGGCGAATTTATTTATTTATTTATTATTTATTTATTTATTTTGAGTTGTAGTTTCACTCCGTCGCCCAGACTGGAGTGCAGTGGTCGCTCCCGGCCACCGCAGCCTCGACCCACTGGGCT